ATTTCCACTGAACCTCTACCCTCGCCATGTTGAGCTCTTTGCTTGTAATAGCTCCAGGCCTGTCACATTTGGTCAGTTTCTGCTGCATGCATCTTCACCAGCCTGGTGTGCCCTTTCCCACTTCTCTGGGTGATATATATGTATATTTATATATGCTTCTTGCCACTCAATTTCCAAATTATTGTTGCTCTGAGACCCTTCATGATACCTTTTTAAAATAAAACTCTTGATTGATTGGCAATTTGTTTTTCTTTACTCATTTTCAAGGCAATTAATTGGACTTTACACCATGGCTCACAATCCTAACATGACTCATTTGAAGATTAATCGGCCAGTTACTGCCCTTCCTCCCCTTTGGGTAAGATGTGACAGTTCGGATCCTGAAGGTACCTGTTGGCTAGGAGCTGAGCTTATCACAACTAATGACAGTATTACAGGAGTTGTCTTATATGTGGTCAGTTGTAAAGGTGAGTGCTCACTCTTCTTGTTTGTGTGCATGTGTGTGTTTTTATTTATTTGTATAGTTATTGTTTTATGATTTTTACTGAAAATTGATATCACTAAGGGAGAAGTGCACACTGTGGAACTTGAGTTAATCACTATGAATGTACTGTAGTGTGTAATTTGAAGCATGTGGGAGGTGTTCCAGAAACACCTCTCCAAAAGACAGGAGTTTGAGCGCCTGTTTTGTTTTCATTTTGTTTAATTTATATGTGTGTATTTTGGGAAATTTTCATTGGAGGATTAAAAACTGAATATAATGATAGTATAATTCCAAGCTCACAGTGGGCATTTAAGTATACTTTTGGGGTAGTACTGATCTTAGTTTCACTTTCATTCTTTTATAAATATTTCGCTCACCTGTGATTTAAATTTAAATTTTAAAAATTATTAGTGTTGAGTTGTGGTACCCTCAAAATTTAGGGATTATAATTTTCTAGCTCTAACAATGTAATTTTGAATTGTACCTTTAACTGTTTTCTTCCTTTCATGTCCTATAGCTGATAAAAATTATTCTGTGAATCTCGAAAACCTCAAAAATTCACACAAGAAAAGACATCACGTATCTACTGTAAGTATATCTCTTCTCATATTATTTTCTTCAGACTGTTATTGACCTGCTTTCCTAGTTTGAAGGTTTTTTGACTCCTAATATGTTTAGGTATTTTTCTGTAGTATCAAGATGTTTATATTTATTTTCATATTAACTAATGACTAAAATTAAAGTAAATTCCTTCTTGCCTTTTAATTAATCTTTGTGGTTTAAAAGAATTGTCTTATTTTTCCATTTGGGATAAAAGCATGGAGTATGGTGCTTTTTCTTCTTTTGGGACAAGAATCAATGTAGTTTGGATTTGGGCTTCTGGCTGTGTGAAAGTATAGCTACTCATCTGCTGGATGCACTCTTTTCAGGTAACAGCCAGGGGCTTTGCCCAGTATGAGCTTTTTAAGTCTACTGCCTTGGATGATACAGTCACCACGTCACAAACTATGATCACTTTGGATATCTCCTGGAGTCCTGTGGATGAGATTCTTCAAATACCTCCACTCTCTTCAACTGCGACTCTGGTAGGAGTGAATCCTATATTCTCATTGGGTTCATGAGGCCCTTAAAAGTTGGTTTACTTGCTTGTTGCTGGTACTGCATCCTTCCAGCCCCAACAGTCGCTGGTTGTGAGGCAGGACAACTCTGAAAGGCTTGCCTTGCTCTTGAAGCCTCACCAGGGCAGCCAGTGGAGGTTTTGCTAGGTGAGCTGAACTATCAGTTGCCTGCAGCCTTGTAATTATGTAACATAAGACTTTTCTAGTAATTAATAAAGTTTCTTGAGTGGGAACTCCAGTGGAATCATCAGGTGACTTATCGTATGTGCTGTTCTTAAGAGTGCAAATATTGGCAATACATCAAGAATCATAATATTAAGCCCTTTCACCCAGTATTTACATTTCTGGGAATCTGTCTTAAATTAATCAGAATTGCTAACAAAATTTATGTTCAAGGTATTCAGTGATATAGTCATGTTCCAAAAATATTAAAACTTGAACGTACAATAGGGAAATAGTTAAAATAGATTTCCATGATGAAATATTGTACAATCTTTAAAAATTGTATTTCAAAATGTTTTTAATAATAATATGAAATGCTGTTCAAAGGTTCAGATTCCCTTGCCATCCAGCCAACCCCCACCCCCAAAAAAGGAAATGCTTATTATAGAACATAAAAAGGAAAAATTACAAAATTATGTATACAGTGGGATGTCACCCATGGTTTTTAAAACATATACACAGAGGCCTGGATATTATTAACAGTGGTTCCCACAGGGTGGTGGGATTATGGACAATTATATTCTTTATGCTTTTCTCTTCCTGTAATAGGAATTTACATATATTAGCTTTTGCTCATTCCCCCACCCCCTTTTTGGGGTGCCTTAGGTTTGTAAAATTTTGACCTTTAGCTAGGACAGCACATTGTTCTTTTATTTAGGAGGAGTCTAATAAACATTTACTGGGGGATTTATTTTTGGTGTATGATAATGCTGAGTTTATCATTTAATCTTGAGATATATTTCTTTGTATTTTTCCTACCTTGTCCTCTTGGAAATTCTAAGGGGAAAGGGCAGGAGAGCATGTGAGGAGGGCACTGTTCCATGTAGGTATAATTGTTTGTGGCATAGAGAGAAGGTGTGGTGGCCTGAATTTCGTTACCATATCAGGATGGCAGGATCTGCAGTGTTTCAGTGTCTCTGGGTACGACGATTTTCAGTGTTGACCTAATTTTTCAACTCTTTGGTGCTTATGAAACATATTTTTTAATGTGGGTGGTTCAAAGTGCAAGTAACTGTGACTCTTATGCAGAGAGGACGGGATTACCAGGGAAAACTGACCTTTTGGACCTTTTTAGAATATTAAAGTGGAATCGGGAGAGCCCAGAGGTCCTTTGAATCATCTTCACAGAGAACTGAAATTTCTTCTTGTGAGTATCCTTCTGGAACTCCTAACTTGCATTAAATGTGTTTTTGTAAAAATGTTTGCTAATATCATTTTTTCATATTTTGTGATCTTCAGTATTTTTGCCCCCCAAAATTTTGTTCCAAATGTTATGTATTCATTAGATACTCTTGGCAATTTGGCAGTTTCATTTTGCCTGTGTGGTGATTGTCCTTATAATTAAAAGGAGCATTAGTTAGATACTTAATAACTTTCTTCTACTTTTTCTACTGGACTGTTTGGTTTTTATTCATATGATGGGTTCCCCTCTCCAGATGGATCAACTGACAACCTATTACAAATGTATATATTATCTTCTTGTTAATAGCTAGGATTTTGATTGATGCTAAAGATTAATAAGCATGTATTTCAGGAATTCACATTTTGGTAATTTAGCTTTACTCTACAAATTGAATCTCAAGAAGGTACCTCATTATAATGCAGTAGAAATGCCAAAGGTCTTAGCCTGGCATACAAAGCCAGTTATAATCCAGCTGCCGCCCTATTTATTTATTTATTTATTTATTTATTTATTTATTTATTTATTTACTAAACAGCTTTATTGAGATATAAATTACATCCCATAAAATGTACTCATTTTAAAGTGTACAATTCAGTGGTTTTTAGTATATTTACCCAAGTTGTACATCCATCACCATAATTAATGTTAGAACATTTTTTATCACCCCAAAAAGAAACTCCATGCCCATTAGCACTTACTTTCTACCCCTACCTGCCCTGGCAACCACTAATCTACTTTTTGTAGTGCTTTGTTCCTTTCTGTTGCCAAATAGCATTCCATTGTATGGATGTACCACATTTTATTTATCTATTCATCAGGTGATGGACTTTTCTATTTCTACTTTTTATCTACTATGAATAATGCTGCCATGAACATTCATGTACAAGTTTTTGTGTTTACTATGTTTTTACACCTTTGGTATGGAGTTGCTGGGTTATATGGTAATCCTGTTTCATCTTTTGAGGAACTGCCAAACTGTAACTGTTTTCCAAAATGGCCACACCATTTTACATTCATACCAGTAGTGCATGAGGGTTCCAATTTCTTCACATCCTTGCTAACACATGATATTGTCTGGTTTTGTTTGTTTGTTTTTATAGCCATCCTAGTGGGAATAAGGTGTTATCTCATTGTGGTTTTGATTTACATTTCTCTGATGGCTAATGACTTTGAGCATCTGTTCATGTTTTTTTGGCTCCTACTTATTTCTTTAGCTTATTTTTTTCTCACACCCTGCTTCCACTCCTACTGAACCTCCAACTTTTGCCATGTTGAGCCCTCTGCTCTTTGTAGCTTTGATCCTGTCACACTCTCACTTTCTGGCATGTGCATCTTGATTTGCATGGTGTGCTTCTGTCACCCCTTTGCTGGGTGAGTTCTCTGTGACTTCTTTGCCTAGGATGGTAGCACTGATCCTCTAGAATGGCTTATGCTGCTTGTGCTTTGTGCTGCTGTAGAACTCCACACACACCTCTTGTCATAGTGTTTATCAAACACAGTAATTTGTTTACTTATCTGTCTCCCTACTAGACTTGTGTGCCAGGTACCCAGTTGTGCTTTTAATGTCTAACATAGTACCAAGCATTTTTATTACTTTTACCTCCTGTTATTGTGTTATTATTTCCCTGTTTGTATAAAACTCATACTTTTTTCTATCTTTCTCACCTTTCTGTTTTCTTGAAAGCTCCTCTTTCAGGACCCTTACTGAGGGTTTCCATCATACTTCTATCTTTATGTTTCTGTCCTTCTTTCTCCAGACTCCTGCAGAGAGCTTGCTAGTCAGTGATTTGACTAATGCCTTTGTGAGTGGACTCTAGACTCCCATCTTCATGCTGTCACGAATTCCCATCTTTCCATCTTCCAACAAGTTATTTCCCACTTTGGTAGAGTGCTATTACCTCAAAACTCAGTATGTCCAAAACAAAACTTGGTATCTTCTCCAGACAAATTAGAAAACCCCATTTCTATCTGTGTGCCCACTGTTCCTTCAATTTGTTAGGCCAGAAACCTTAGACTTTTCTTTAGTGAGAACTATTTTCTAACACTACAGCTTACTACAACATCTAGAAGCTGCCGCTGTACTGTGTGCCAAGCATGGTGCTAGCTGGTTCTGCTATTTTGCCTGAGATGACAACTGTTAAACAGAAGAGTCAGTTCAAATTCATTCAAGGGCATGTCTTGTCTGTCTGATTCAGAAGTCTATGCTCTGTTATGACCTCCTTATAAATTCACAGATTTTTAGGTGTGTATGTGGCCATAGTCTCTCTGAGTTCAATCTCCTGTATTTTATAAATGAGTAGGATTTTTTCTTTTATTCCGTATATACCTCTCTCTCTCTCTCTTTCTCACATCTTCTTCTTTTTTTTCTTTTGAGGTCTCTCTCACTATGCCCATCTTCTCCTTCCTGGACCATGCTAATGATCATTCATTGTTTCTCAGCAGGGGCATTTGGACGGGACCATTCTTTGTGTTTTGGGACCATTGTACACATAGCAAGATGTTTAGCATTCCTGCCCCACATCAAACTAAATGCCTGAAGTGCTCCTGTACCTCCAGTCATTGAGACAAAAATTATCTTCATATTTTTCTGAAGACCCTCTGGGGATGGAGGATGATATCACTTCCATTGAGAAACATTGTGCTTTTTCTTTCCCTTGGAATCCATCCTGACTATTTCTGACAGAGGAATTCTTAACTACTTGATCATGTCATTTTCCTGCCCCCAAAATCAACAGTGGCTGTTGTCTCCTATATGAAGTACATCTTTTTAAGTTTTAAGCTCCCTTTATTGTCTAGCCCCATTTCTTGTAACTTATTTCCTACCATCCCCTAGGTGTTTTCTTCACTCTGGTTGGAATCATTCCACCCTCTTCATCTTATTTCTTGCTCCCTACCTGCTCTTATGTCTTGCTCCTTCCCTGTTCTATAACCGGTGGTTCCCACATTTGATGGCAACTGAAGTTTTACATCGTTTCCCTGGCTACTCCAGCCTGTGTTGACTGCTTTTCCTTACTTCTGCTTAGGTAATGTACGTATGTGCATACACATTTATATTATTTTTATATGAACTTTCATTCAATTTCACATTGTTATTCCCTGATTATTTCGTCTGTATTATCTGTCCTTCTTAGCCAAAATTCCAAGCATTTTCAGAGCTGACCCAGTGTCATCAGTCTTGAATCCTCTTAGCATATATGCACATGGCATCATAGTTCAGAACACCATCTTTGAAATCAGATCACTGAATGTATATCCTGACACTGTCAGTTACTAACCATGTTAACTTCTCTTAGCTTCAACAAAATGGGGATAATAGTAATATCTACCTCATAGAATTTTGTTAGGATTAAATAGCATACTGTATGTAAAGCACTTCATCAGTGCCTGGCATGTGATAAACACTCAAGAAATGTTATGACAATTAATTTATCGTTAAATATATCCTTATTGATTAAACTATGTTTTCTGCTAACAAGTTTTTGGGTTTTTAAAATCTCCCATAGGTTTTGGCTGATGGTTTGAGGACTGGTATAACTGAATGGCCGGAGCCTCTGGAAGCAAAATCTGCTGTTGAACTTGTGCAAGAATTTTTGAATGGTGTTTGTTTTCCTAACTCACTCTTGTATAATGTTTGTTTTTCTTAATTGAGAATTTGTACTTTCTATATTTAAATATAAGTTGTCTCTTTACTTGATATTCTTTTTGGTTGAGATATATATAAAGCTATGAGGTCTGTTATGGTCAGGGGACAGCTTTTGTTCTGAAGTGCTGATGGTAAAGATCTAAGTAATTCTAAAACCAAATGTAATTTAATTTAAATTTTATATAACATCACCATAATTGGGATTGTAGGAAAAGAAGAATGGCACAGTAACCTTTGAGTACCTACAATGTGCCTGATGTTGTATGTCAGGGGCTCCCTTGCACCCCTACCTGATGGGCATCTATTATTATCTCCACTGGAGAGTTTATTAATTTGCTCATATCTCCAGTTATACTTCTACTATCCCCATTTGCCATTTGAAAATAGAATTAGGATGGAAATAATTTGAAAAACGGAAAAATAAAATCGAGTTAACACTTTTGCCACTTTCTAGACTTAAATAAGCTGGATGGATTTGGTGATTCTACAAAAAAAGACACAGAAGTAAGTGATTATTATCAGTTAAAAATGTACATTGAGATAGCTTGTGAAATTTGGTTGTTATCTTTCATATTTACCATCTCAAATGGATCTGGTAAAAAAGCAGGTTTTGGGGATAGTTTTTGTTGGTCTTTAATGTCAACACTGGTGGTTATTTTTCTTAAGAACTGATAAATGTTTTGTTTTGTTTTTTTCCGATAAATGTTTTTGAAGAGAACTAATACATATGTATTAATAGTTGTTCAATTGCAGAGAAGTAGAAATGAATATATTAATACATTGTAAGATGCTATTGCATAGTATATTTAAGCTTACTTCTTTTTCAGACAGTGAAGCACGATGCTGCTGCAGTTGATAGGTCCATTGAGTGTCGTTTCATAGTACGGGGTGATCTCGATTTTGCTGAGCAATTGTGGTGCAAAATGAGCAGTAGTAGGTGTCCATCATGATTAAAGTTTTTCATGTTATTTCTTAGGTTTATTTTTAAGTGTTTTGGAAATAATACAGTATGTACTACTAGTCTTGTGTGGAAGTCTAGTTCCTGTTTTATCCACCCTGTTTCTAATGCATTGGCATGTTCTGCTTAAGAATTGTACTGAGACAAGGCAATTCATTGAATCTGTTCTTTTCTCCTACCTTTTAAGTAAAAAGCTTAGGTAGTTTTTTTTTTTTTCCTTTTTGTCTTTTTCCATGTCCGGCAACGGATCGCAACCCTCAG